CATCGATGCTAGGGTGGGGTGATGTGTTCGGGCGGAGAAAATAAAAAGATACTTATGCCGGATTCCGAGTGGTTGCGGAGTAGATGGAATCCGAGGAGAGAGGTGGTTGTGCTACGCACATGGGGAGTACCTACCTACGCATGGTGCGCGTAGAGACGATTTGACGGACTCTGTCCTGCGACTTGTCGTACGGCCGACTTGTCGTACGGACTTGATTGTGATTGCTGCGTGCTTACAGTGATTTATGTATTCAATTCCTGTTTATTAGAATATTAGTACATACACACATATATCTATATGTTTGTGCTTTCCCTGGCACCATGAGAATGGAACTCCGGGTTACGCCCGAGTTCACTCTCTAAGCAATTAGCTTAGGACGTTGTTACGCAACGTTTCAGGTCGTGAGCAACAGTAGCCGAGGAGCGGACATCGAAGACTGGTGTGACCTGCCGTGTGATCATGTATAATTATTCTCTACGGTACAATTACGTTTTCGGGGAACGGTTTGTGTTATATCGGTGGTAGACTTTTATGGTTTGTAATAATGTGATACTACCACTGTGTATGTATAATTATAACTGGAATAATGTACCGTATATGTATGTAAGAAAGTTTCTTCCGCTGAACTCTAAAAATAAAAGTTTAAATTCCCGCGGATTTTTTTGGAAATGCGATTTTTATTTTACTTGTCCATGTGGGCAAAGGTGCGGTGGAAATGGCGAGCGGCAATGGTTTTTCAGTTGAAGAGAACTGTTGAAAGAGGCGGTTTCTTGTACATCAAGCAACTGAGTCATCTTCTCCGTGACGTCATTCTGTATTACATGTCTTAAAAAGAACAAAAACAAAAAAGGTTTTCTTGTATATCAAGCAAGTGGGGTTGGGTTCAATTAGGGTTTGTTCGTTCCACTGTCAATCTTTTTTTTTATTCTCTCTTTGTGGCCATATGGAATCTATCTGCATCGTAATATATTAAAAGGATGAATTGGTTTCCACATATCTATCATATTTTTTTTATAACCGAATATCTTAGACGAAAGTTCAGACTAATCTGAAGCCGAAAATCATTCATATGGTTTAAATTATAAGATTATTCTCCAAATTTAAAGTTTGAGCTTGGGATATTTCTTCTGATGTTGTCAAAATCTAGTTTTGAAAAAAAAAGGGTCTGAATTTTTCATGTGCTAAAACAAGAAGATATAAATATGTTCAAACTCTCGTCTACACGTATTACCCATCCCTTAATGACATGTTATATTGGAATATTGGTATTATATCTCATAAATATTTGTATTATTATTATTTGTATAAAAAGTAAAGTGTAATAACCCGTTCCCAAAACTCGATTGTCAAATTGAGTTGTGAGATTTTGGAATATTGGTATTATATCTCATAAATATTTGTATTATTATTATTTGTATAAAAAGTAAAGAGTAGTGGAAAAAAATAACGATTTTTCTAAAAATTTGTAACTTTAAAACAATATAAAAATTTAAAATATTGTTATATTCCTTGACCGCGTTATTCAAATAATAAAATTCATTGAATCAATGTAATGTACACGGTTGTTTGTTTTTGTAGAACCACAACAGTCCACGTCAGCAAAATTAAAATTTCAGTAATATGAATCACATGATCTTCTCTTTTAAATTGAAAATTTTTATGATCCATATGTTTGAAATTTTTAGGCTTAATTTATATCAAGTTTCGAGGATAGTTTTGTATTTTTTTTATAGTTAAAAGCAATAGTTTTCGAAGATTTTTTTTTACACATACTATTTGGACATTTTTTTATTATTTTTAGTTAGTTCTACATTAAAAACACCAATTTATGAAAACTGGAAAAATGACTTATAGATTAATATTATAAATATCTTTTAATTTATTAATTATATATATATATATTCAAGTTACGTTTATTTAAATTGATAAATATTTCATAAAAATAATATGAAACTAAAAAAAATGTGTTAAAACAATGTCTAATACATATTATGAAATTATCCGTTAAAATGATATAACAAATCTCTATAGGTACTAATTAATAAAAAATAAAATTTAACATGTTTTCAATTTATTCCTAAAATTTGAAATTTTAAAATTCAACGCTCATCTATTTCCTCTCTCCTAAACTAATTATTAAGATTAGCCTCAATTCACCAATATATCAAAACTCAATTGATATTTATTGTTTCAAAAGTAAATGAGATTTCATATTTTGGTAAGTGTCTCAAATGATAATGACTAGGATTTGACCCCAACTAAAGAAATGGTTGAAAAATTTTAATTTAATAAATTATTTGAAGAATCTAATTATATTTGAATATTCAAAATTAGAGGAGAACCACAACTATGACTCAATGAGTCGAAGATTGAGATAAACATGGGTCGGTCCCACAAGAGTGGAGTTTCACATAATTTTTTGTTGGTCCCACCCACCAATTTTCATCATCTCGTCACGTCGATCTAAATCATCTAATTCACATATAATGAAAAAAAAAATTTAATCGAATCTCATAATTCGAATTTACCTTTTTTTTTTTCTGACCACTTTTTGTCAACTTTTTTTTTATAATTTTAAAAATATTCAAATAATATTATTTGTTTGGAATATTCAAATAAATATTTAGAATACGATATAAGCTGCTATACATTTTTTTTTTTGTATTTTGTACCATTGCAAACTATATATCAATAGTAGTTGAGATTACTAATCGGAGTCATCTAATTTTCGATATCAAACCAATTATCGCACCAAATGTTTTTTTTAATCATAAATTGCATTGTGACACAAATATAATGCATTTTAAATCAGATATGTTGTAAAAGTCAAATCAAATATAATATAATAAATCTAACCAATAAATTATAAAAAATCAAAATAAAATTTTTAAAAGTAAAGATTTTTATCAACTCATCAAATTCTAGATCAAGTTTTTGAAATCTAAAGCTCTATTTTGAATAACTTTTTTTATGGTATTAAAATTTATAAATTAACAAGACTAAAAAAAATGTATTTATAATAACTAAGAACAAATAATATATTAACAAACGTATATTACTAAAAACTTATATAATAAACCAATAATACAAATAAAAGACAAAAATTTTTTTTTTTTAGGCCCACAAATTCACTCATGACCCGCAAGAATTGGCAAATATTTCTGTATCAATTCGTCACGGACCAACACGTAAACCTTTTTTTTTAAATCAGGACCTTGAAAATATATATAACAAACCCAACTTATATGATCTGATTTAGAGCTTAACAATCACTAGAAGATCATTTGGCAATAAAAAGCATATTGTAAATGCTTCCCATATATTTCATGCCTTAAATATTTTCAAGTATTGTGGTAACTAAAAGCATTAAGTGGAGGACCAACAACTCCCATATTAAGATCTAATGATGCCAACATTTATCTACACTGATGAGTCAATTAAAGAATTATAATCACAAAAACTATCCTATTACATTGGATAAATTAATAAAAAAAAATTATATGAAAATTGCACGATTACATTAACAACATGGAAATTTCGAAAAGTTCATACAAAAATACATCATAGAGTTTGGAATTTCGGAATGTTTAAAAATATTGAAATTATTTTGATTTGGTAAAATTTATTTACGTGTTAATTATTACGTTTTTATAATTCAATAAAACTATGTTTTTTGTTGGGTAAGTTTACAAAAAGAAAAATCTTTTTCTAGATAACTATCAAAACTCACATTCAAATATGTAAAATGATCAAATATAATAAAAATCAACGAAAAATATCTTTATTCACCATGATGATGAGAGAAAAATACCTTTTCTTTATTCGTTTCCATGGAAGATGAATCTCTCTCTCTCTCTCTCTCTCTCTCTCTCTCTCTCTCTCTTCCACCGTCACAGCAACTATATGAACATATATGCATTTAACACAAAAGTGGTAGACCCCAAAAATTCTACACGAATCATTGCCACAAATCACCTCTCACACTTTTGCAATGCTCAAACAGATTCTTCTCTCCCAAAACCCAAGACATTGATTCAAGGGTTTTTGAAAAGAATCAATTTTTTTTTTATCAGATGAAGAACATGAAAGTAGTGTCTGATCAGATTTTCTAAATCCCAAGAAGAAAATCTGTGCTTTTGGTTTTGGATGAATGAGATGAGCAAAAACTCGGAAACCCAGAATGTCTAATCATTCTTTCCGCTTCCCGAAACCGCCATTGATGGATGTCTCGAAGCTTCAGCATCAGAACAAGAGGAAAGTATGGTTTCTGTCTCTGATTCTCTTCTTCATCGCCTCCACTCTCCTCATCATCACCTCCACATTCTCCACTTCCTCACTCCTGCGTGCCTACGCATTCTCTCGCCGCCGTATAAGCCCACGCGCCGCCGCGAAACCTCGTCCAAAGTTCGTCGAATCGAAGCTTCGCGTGACGGAAACTTCAAAAGAACCCATACCCAGAATCGCCTACCTGATCTCCGGCTCGAGAGGAGATTGCGAGAGCTTGAAGAGGGCTCTGAGAGCTCTGTACCACCCGAGGAATCAGTACGTTGTTCATCTGGACCTGGAGGCGACGGCGGAGGAGCGGATGGAGCTGGCGAGGTTTACGGCGGAGGAGCCTTCGTTCGCAGCGGTTGGGAACGTGAGAACGATCGTGAGGGCGAATCTGGTTACTTACAGGGGACCGACGATGGTGAGCAACACGCTTCACGCGGCGGCGGTTTTGCTCCGGCACGGCGGCGCGTGGGATTGGTTCATCAACCTCAGTGCTTCTGATTATCCTCTGGTCACTCAAGACGGTAAAATGATTAGATTTGCTTCGTCTTTGTTTCCACTGTGGTTTCTGAAATTGGTGCTGACGTTTTTGGTTCTTGTTGAGTTCGGAAATGCGAGAAATATTGTCTGAATATGGCATTGTTGCTCTCCACTGATCCTTAGTTGTATTTTGTTGAAATACTTGATTTATCAGTGTGTATGTGTGTATGCATTGGTTGGCCAATCAAGATTGCTGAAAATGGAAATTGATTTCTGAGAATCTTGCTAATTCTGGGTTCAATGCATAATTTTCGAACGAGGAACTTCAAGATTCGTGGTCAGCTTCGATCTTGAAGAATTCAGACAAAGTTGTAGCTTTTCCGAGAAATCTGAACTCTTGAGTCTTTGTTTTCGTTGTGGTTTTCTGACATTGGTGGTGATGTTTTTGGTTCTTGTTAGATTTCAGTTGAAATTCTCGATTTCTCGGCCCCTTGATTCCGAATTTGATTCGATATTGTTCTCATTTTGTTGATATGGTGGATCGTTTAGAATGGTGAATTTGTACATTACATAGATTTCCCTTGATGAAAATGGATATTGGGTCACTGAGAAACTTGCTGGTTCTTGCTTTGATGCATGTATGAGGAGGAGCTTACCAGATTTTTGGTCACTTTGATCTTGAAGAATTCGGATAAAGTCTCGTGCTTTGAGAAATCCAAACTCTTTTTAATCGGAACCCGAAAATTTTGTTAGCTTCGTCCCGAGACGTATGACACGGCTCGATGAAATAACCCGGGACTAGCTCGGTTCATGTAATAAGCTTTCTAGGAAATCTCTTAGGTTGTACCGCTCTCCCGATTAAGTTGTTTGTTCGTTCTGTTTACTCGACAGATTTGCTTCACGTCTTCTCGACAGTTCCCCGAGACTTCAATTTTATCGAGCATACGAGCGACATCGGTTGGAAAGAGTAAGCTATTTCGATCTGTTCTCTGTCTTGATTCCATTCTAATCAGATGTGAATTTTGGTTAATGTATGTATTGAATCTGCAGATGGCACAGAGCGAAACCCGTAATAATCGATCCCGGGCTGTATAGCCTCGAGAAATCGGATGTATTTTGGGTTACCGAGAAGCGAAGCATGCCATCTGCGTATCGGCTTTTCACAGGCGAGTTTACAAGTATCCGTTCCGTTTATTTTCCATCCTATCTCTTGCTTTCTCGTCTAGTCCCCTAATACTTGCGTTTATCCGTCTCGAATTTTTCCGACAGGATCCGCGTGGATGATGCTTTCCCGTCAGTTCATCGAGTACTCGCTATTCGGTTGGGACAACCTCCCGAGGATAACCCTAATGTACTACTCGAATTTCCTATCCTCGCCCGAGGGATACTTCCACACGGTCATTTGCAACGCCGACGAATTCAAGAACACGACCGTGAACCACGACCTCCATTTCATTTCGTGGGACAACCCTCCGAAACAGCATCCCCACTTCCTTACGACCGACCATTTCGACAGAATGGTCGGAAGCAACGCTCCCTTCGCGAGAAAGTTCGGAAACAACGAGCCGGTTCTCGACAGGATCGATTCCGAACTTCTAGGGAAGAGTAGCCCTGACGTGTTTGTCCCGGGAGGGTGGTTTCGAGGGGAAGGAGAGATGATCGTTTCGGGAAACGGGACCGAGCTGAGGCCGGGACCGGGGGCTGAGAGGCTGAAGAAGCTGATAACAGGGCTCTTGTCGGCTCAAGATTTTCGTAGAACACAATGTGCCTGAAACTGAGAATCGGTTATGTAATAAGAGAAGTTTTAGAGGAATCTATAGGAGTAACTAAAAGGGGGAACAAAGATGTTGTCTCTAATATGTTATATATATATATATATATATATATATATATATAATTTTTATTTATTTTTCATTATGAGATAACTTATTATTAATATTATTATTTCTATTAAAGTGGTGAATGATTACGACATTAAAATTCTTCCGTTCCTTTTAGAGGAGAGATGTGTGGCGGATGAGCACATGCATGGGGAGTGGAAAAGAGAGATCTGAGATTTTGGGTTATTTTTGTAATTTTTAATTTTATGAGAGACGTTTAGCTATTTTTTTTGGGTTTTTTTATGTGGAATCAAATTGAAACGTTTAAAATTTCGGTGATGAACGAGTATCCAATTTTTATTTTTTTTATGTAACTCATATGACCATTTAAACATCTGAGTTTTAGATTTATTTGCTCAGTAAATTTATTTTATTTTAAAGTTTGACTAAAAAACACAAACTTGGCCAGAAAAAAACAGTTTATTTAATCGCCGTTTTATTATAAGTTATATTTTTAAATTACCATAAAGATTTACTTATTCAATAAATGCAATATCATACATTTGAGACCTTCACAAATTCACAATCATAATTTTCTATAGGGGTAATCGCCAAAAAAACCCTGTACTTTTCTCAGGTCAACGAAAAACTCTATACTTTTTTATTATCAATTAAACCCTATATTTAGCGTGATTAATCCATAAAACCCCGTACTTTTTAAAAATTCACCGAAAATCTCCTACGAATGCCAACTCAAATAAAAATGATGATGTGACAATGACATGACATGAACACATCATCATAATTATGTCACATCATCATTTCAAACAAAATTTAAATTAAATTAATATATATACATACAAATTCACACATACATACATATATATATATATATATATATATATTAAATATAAAATTACTTATAACTAATAAAAAATATATGCATATCTACAATATATATATTATAAATTATATTATAAATAATATATATATATATGCATATTATTTTTTAATATATATTGTATATATATTAGTTGTAATTATTTTTATTTTAATATGCATATTAGTTGTATATATATATGTTAATTATAATTACTTTTATTTTAATATGTATATTAGTAATATATGTATATATATAACTAATATATATACATATACATATTATTTTTAATATATATTAGTTATAATTATTTGTATTTTAATATATATCATGTATGTATATAAAATTAATTATAATTACTTTTATTTTAATGTATATATATTAGTTATAATATACATATATATTGTAGTTATGTGTATATATATTTTATTAATTACAAATAATTTTATTTTTAATATATATATATATATATATGGGAATTTGTATGTATATATATATTAATTTAAATAAATAATTTAATTTAAATTTTATATGAAATGATGATGTAGCATAATTATGATGATGTGTTCATGTCATGTCATTGTCACATCATCATTTTTGCTTGAGTTAATATTCGCGGGGGATTTTCGGTGAATTTTTAAAAAGTACAGAGTTTTATAAATTAATCACACCAAGTACAGGGTGTGGTAATAAAAAAAAAGTATAGGGTTTTATCAATCAAATATTATTAAAAAATGTTTTTCGATTATTTCTATATAATTTTACATTCGATTTTTTTCAGGTTTAAAAAACTATCAATTTAATCTTTAATATCGAATTTAGTTTGAATACAATTATATATTATTTGGTTTAGATGTGTTAAAAAACCTTGAATAGTTTTACGGAAACATTCATCCCAAACGCTGTCATAAATAAGTACAAGTCGCAGAAAGAACAACCTCCGCATAAAGGATTATCCAACTACGGTCGGTGACCAGACCTCTCTATAGGCTTCTACCAATAGCTCAGTTTGGCCGAAAAACTTTTCGACCCGTCCCCTCGAGCCATTTCTCATACAGCCTCTCTTCGCTATTGCATTCACGAACGGATCCGTCACCCGAAACCCGAATTCAAAGGGATGAAAGATGGGTTAGCAGAGAGCTAAACAGTAGGACTGAGTGACAGAAACTCTCTGCATTGGCAACAAACGGCTACTCGCATTTTCCGTATATTCCGCTCCGAGGATTTTGATCAGATCGTTCAAGGACAGGCCCGGGTTTTCGCTCACGGTTTTCCGTTCCACCTTCGGAGAAGAAAAAAAAAACAGATTGTTGGGATAAATGTGAGAGAAAAAAAACAAACCGGAAATTCGATATTCAAAACTTACTTCGAGCGCGGATTCACGATGTCTGAACTCTGAGAAGGACTATCGATGTCTTGTCCAAATAGTGCTTGTTGGGGACTCTCTGACAGAAGAGATCTATGGCAGAATATAAGAGCCAAGCTGCTTTCTGGCATAACATATCCAACCGCCTGAAATCAGAGGGCTCTCAGCATAACATTCAGATCGGTAATGTTCAAACAAGTTTAGCTCCTAAAATTACCAGGAATGATCAGATCTAGAGGTTTCCTCATCCGGAGAATTAGCTTGCTTATAACAAATGATTCAAGAACTCGTCACAAGCATCTATAAGCACTAAGTCTCTACTGCAGCTAGTAGGACGGGGTCGGTACCCGGATTTTTGGGGTACCGGTCTCGGCCTCGCATCCATGGGTGTTCTGGGATATTATATCGGTCTCTAAGACCCGTGAACCCGCAGCCCAAACCGAATACCGACGGATAAACCATCATGGTTCGGAAAAACCTGAAGTCAAACCCACAGTCCGTCTTCGGGTTCGTTGGTGGTCGGATATCCGCGAGACCTAACTAGTAGTATCAAACACAGGTTTAACTCAACTCCCAAAGACTTGGGGAACATAATGAGTTTCTTGAAGAACTGAAGAGGAGAGATATATGTCACCCGCAAGCCAAGCAATTTTTAACTCTTGACACAAGATCAGCTAATCAGTGTAACATCTCAATGCATAATCATGAAAACACATTAGCAATCCAATTAGTATGCAAGGAGAGTGATACACACATGTTCCCTAATACCCATCGAACAATCTCAGATTTCAAGCAATCTGAAGATTCACTAAGGGTATCTAGCAAAACATCATGGCCGCATGATTAAAGATCCTACCCACTTTTCATGTCTACGAGCAAAACAAGAGATTCGAGTTAAAATTCAACCTGATCCAATGAAATCCATGATCTGGTATCATCATCATCATCATCATCATCATCAGCTCCTCCGCCCTTTTCTCGTTAAACCAGAACACAACAATTAATAAATTCCCCAGTTTGCCTAACCAAATTCGTCGATCTCCAACGCCGATGGGGATTCCGATTATTACGGAGGAGCCCTAAACTGCACAAGCCCAGTGACTAATCAGCCTCATCGAGGCCAAAACGGGAGTTAGTCACGAGAATTCGAACATCATCTTACGAGAAAAGAGAGAGAGAGGGTTCACCGGAGGAGACAACGTTGATGCTAGTTCTGGTTACACCGGGAAAGCGAATCTCTGGTTTCCAATTTTTTTTTTTTTTTTTTGCGTTTTTCTTTTTATTCTTCCTTCTGTATTTAACTTTTCATTATTGTGTAGAAGTCCTCCAACTATAAAAACTTTTCGTTTTGAGTCACAACGTTTGTTTAGATATTAACAACCCTCGTAGATCCTCAATTTCAACCATGAATTTCTAAATTGATTTAGAAGAGCCCTAAGATATTAATTCTCCATATTAACCATAGTTTACACACACACACACACATGTATACATACACAAGCCTCTATATACAAAGCTAACTCTAAACTTTGAAATAGTTTAGAAAAACAGAATACTAAATTAATCAACATAGCATTTTTTTTCTTATCGAACATCAACACATACCTTATTGGTATGAATTTTTATTCTCCATCACAAATATATATATCTTTTTACACACAAGGATCGATATGTCCATGGCCAAAGAAAGATATATAACATCTATGTATGGTTCCATGAACCTAAGAATATCATAATTCTAATTGGATCTTCCGACCGTTCGGTCCAATTTCGTTTTCCACGATCGTCCGAACCGAAAAACTTTCTGGTTATAACTTTGGAAGCGGCATCCCGTAATTTATCCCCGACGGTAGTATTTTCCGGCGATCTCTTGGCCGGAAAATCATCGCCGGAAAGTTTGTTGCCGGACTTCATGTCTTGTGGATAAGAAGAAGCAGAAGGGGAAGAAGAAAGAGTGATGCTTTTGTAATTTGTTAGGTTATTGAAATATTTAGAGTCGTGTGAGATGTGAGATGGGTATAAATAGAGGGGGGAAGTGATCATATGCGGATGCCCACCCAATATTATTCGAATATAATAAAAATATAATATTTATGATAATATATTCACTATGGAAAAAAGTTGTCTTTTTTCTTGGTGGAATCTTATATCTTGACAACAACGATTTTTAAATATTTTTATTTATAAAAAAATACCTAAAATGGTTCCCACTTTATATTGGAAAATCTCGGGCTTTGTTTAGGTTATTGCTAGACTATATTGTTAAACGAACTCTTATTAACTTTATAAGCATGTTTTTCCTAAACTTGTTTATTTCAATTTTTTACATTATATTATAAAAAGTTATATATTTTACTTTATTTATTTTACTATTTCAATAAATAATTATATACTTTAAATGATAAAAATGATATCTCAATAATAAAATTATATGAGTTGAACACTTCCACGTTGAAACGTTTGGTAGCAAAGTAGAGGTACTTTAAAGCAACTAATCATTCTTATTAAAATCGATTTAATTTATAATTATCCGATCGCATCAATCGTTCATTATGTGATTTCAGGCCTAGAAATATTCAATACGATCAATATGCCTAACCAAATTCATTTTTATAAGAAGCAATATTTAAACGAACTTCTCTAATTTATTTTAATGCACCTATTAAATGAAGATAATACCGAGGATAAAAAACATGCATGATGAAACGATCTAAAAAATGAATTTTCTTGGCGACTAGAAAATATCTCTCTTAATTTAATTTAGTGATTAATTTAAACTTAAATAAATTATAAAAAAAATTAGAATTCGAGTTTAAATATATTATAATTAATGTTAAAAAATTATTTCAACTGTATATAAATCTTAGATAGTAAAATAATATATTCTACAATTAAAAATTTTGGTCAAATCACAGATATTTAGCATTTAATAATCATATGTATTTTGTCTTTACCAATTCATCAACTTTATTTTGTCTTCTCATTAATAATGCACCAACCTAATTGTCATGTGCATATATAGACTTAATCAATAAATTAATTGCTCTCGAATTTATGAAATTTTCTGCTCATGATGTCCCACGGTTAAAAGCAAAGGAGCAGAATACTTTCCTTATGCCTTGTGGGTGACAGATTGCGAAATTAGCTCACCATTTATTCTTTTCATATATAAATGTAAGAAAAAAATGATTTTATTAGGGTGAAAAATAGGAAAATAGCTTCACACGTGGTATTTTCAATTGTATATATCATATTTAATCGGTTTCTATTTGTTTTTTTATTGAAAAAATATACTTATTTACTTAAAAATTTGTTTCAATTCAATTTTATTGATATAGTTATACTATTTAGTTAAAAAGATATACAATTATTTCTAGTTTTCTCTATAGTCATATGCCATTAGATATTATTTGGAAATATCCACCTTATATATCCACCGGTACTAAACTAACTAGGCTTCTTGAAAAATTTGATAATTATTCATATAAAAGTTTGTGTAACATTGCAATGGAGAATCCTAAGTGGATTATGTGGACCAACTAAAATATGTGATAAGCTATAATGATATCCACATCATAGCATATGCTAGGAAGTGTAATATTGACTCTTTAAGAGCACCAATGGCCATCTACTTCACCTATATTCCCTTTTGTGCTTATCTAAGAGACATACAACATCGTTTTCATGGATGCCAATTGCAATTGGACTAAAAGCATAGTTTTATTAAGGAAAAAATTTCCAAAATCAAATTATAAGACAAACCATATATCATAAAGTTTTATGATTGTACTTGTACATAAGCTTAAAATATAAACTAGAATAAATCATCTTGTTAGGAAGTCAATTTTTCGGATTTTTTTAAAATATTAAAATTTTATCATTTTATTTTTCTGATTCGAATATTCTATTTTAATTGTTATGGATGATAGGGGAAATAATTTCGCAAAAAAAAATCGACGAATGCACACAAATGAACACAAATTTATAGAAAATCTCGAGGTATAAGTTAAACATTTTCTAAAGAATAAATTTACTTTTAAACAAAGTTGTTTCGGGTTAATATAAAGTACTATTAGAATACAACAAAATTATGTTTTTTCTCTACAAACAAAACTCGAAAAAAATCCTTACTCACACTCAAAAATATTTAGACTATTTTTTTTTTGTTTGGAATAAATAGATAAATGAGAATTTTTTATAATACACAGTTACAAAGTAATGAGTTTATATAGCCATGATTTTAAGTTACTTCATTAAATCAAATAAATTACTTATTAATTTAATGATATGTTATATAAACATATAAATCATGTTGTTAGGATGTCAATTGTTCAGATTTCTTGGAAATACTAATTTTTTTTTTATCATTTCCATTTTCTGATTTCAAAGATTCTGTTTTGATTTCCAAAGGAAAAAAAATGTTCTTACAAGAATAATTACTAACAAGAATGATCTGGTGTGAATATAAAATATCAATGCAAGTTTTGTTAATACCCTCTACCACTCTACAAATATGTAATTAGTTGTATAAAGTATAGTACATAAAAATAAAATCGGGTATTATTTTTCATCTCATTTTCTTTTCCTTATTGGATTTTCAAATACATAAGAGCATTCGAATTTATTCACATATATAAATATTTTTTTGGTTATCACCATATTTTGTATTTATTTTTGTCTAAGATATTCTTATTAGATCGTGAAATCTTAGTATATTTTGGTTGAATCATTGTGATGACGTCGTGAGTCTTTTTTTTCATCCCATTTTACATTTTATTACAATCAAATTATTTACCTGAATATAAAATCCCAAAACCATATTAAAGCTTTGATGTGATGTGTTTTTAAATCGGAATAGACTATTTATAATTTGATCATTAATATACCTTGTTTTTTTTTTTTTATCATAACGCTAGAACATAACGATCAACAAAAATAAGAGCCATACAAATATTCTATAATATTTTTAATTTTTTTGTATAAAATATAAATATTACACCATTATCATGGCTATAAAAAAGTGAAGACAAACACAAAGCACTATTACAATGGGGAAGAAACTGTGTATTGTTTTTTCCCCAAATAAATAATTGTGTTTATTTGATTAGAAGGGCGTCTATTCAGTTCCTGGATACAAAAAATATCCATAGGACAATGCATGGCCCACAAACATATTTTCGATAAAATATTTATTAAAATTATTTAGCTTTTAAAATAATTATATTATATTTATTTTTTATAGAAAATTTGAGATTAATACACCATTTCTATTAAAATCTCGAATTAAAATACACATTTTAAAGATACGAGATTTTAAAATCCTAGATTAATACATGCCTTTTTTTTTTCTTCCAGAGATTAGTTTAATACACAAACCTCTGATTTGTTTTTTCATAAACCATAATAAGTGTTGACGATGTCAGCAATCTGACCACCGGATTTCCACATGGTAATTAGAAAACCTAATTAGAATTTAGAAATCACGTCAATTGCCACCAATGAAAACAATGATACAATCATAAGAAAATATAAAACTTTAAAAAACACATCCACGTATTCAACATTTACATATATATATATATATACATACGCATATGAATAGACATATATACGCACATATATACACATACAAATATACACATGCTTATGCACACATATACATCTATATATACACATATATAGCTTATACGTATATACATATATATACAAGCAAATATATGTACCGATATCCCCATATACATGTTTATACACAAATATATACACATGTATAAAAGTTTATACATATGTATATATGTATATAGTCATATATTTATATGTATGTGTGTAGACATGTATATATGTATGTGTGTAGACATGTATATAAGTATGTATTAGTATTGTGTGTAAACATGTATGTATAAGTATATACATGTGTGTATATATGTGTATGTATGTGTATATATGTCTATGTACATATGTATAAGTATGTATACGTGTATATATTTTCAATTTCTTTTTTATTTTTTATAATGTATCAATATTTTATACATATCAGTTTACGTAATATTTTATTGGGTTTATCATATCATATTTCGATTTCGGTTTTGAATTCCATATGGTAACGTGATTTTTCATAGTATCAACGACTTTATCAAAATTTTAAAAATCTTAAGAGTTCATACATATATATATATATATATATATTAAGTTCGTTTTTTTTTAAATTTATATATTAATTTAAATTTTAAAATTCATATACTTATTAAAATTTCTAATAGAATCTATCAGTATAAGAATTTTTCTTAATTTTAATTTAGAATGTTATATTATATTTATTTTTGATTTTGTAGATCTATGAGTACATACCAGCCGTTGGATCAAATCCCAAGCTGACGTGGAAAAAAAGTAGAAAGTTTCGGTTCGTGTCAAAATAGGGGATCATTACAACAGTCATTTTCGTTTGTGTCGAAAAAAATTTCCGAGAACAAATTGGTTAGGGTTTTTGAAGGGGTTTTGGTTTTTCCCTCTCTCTTCGATTCGATCTTGTGACTGTGAAGTTCTCTCTTCCAGTTCCTCTTCGTCTCTCTCTCACACCTAGGGTTTCGGTCCTTCCGGAGGGCTGTACCAGTGAGCTCCAATGGTGTCGCCGAAGGAGTTAGTGGCGATTGCACAGTCTTCGCTTCTCGGACCGTCGCCTCCGACACCGACGCAGCGAATCGAGCTCATTCACGCTATTCGCAGCTCCTCTGCCTCTCTTCTTAACTTCCTCTCTTTCACTGTTCGTGTTCTTCTCGCTGGTATTCGAATGTCTTCTTTGCTTTTTATAGCTATAATTTTTGCTAATGAGTGTAAATCACGTGTTGTTTCAGCCTCCGAAGCCTTCGGACAGAGCGCAGGTACAGTCCCGTGAAGTTCGGCTCCCGGATTCGTCGCCAATATCTTTGGATGACCAAGACGTTCAGATTGTAAGTTTGTAAATGGGAAGACGAATATTCAGTGTTTCTGCTTAAATGTTGCAAATCAAGTTACTGAACCTTTATCCGTCAATCATGAATTGTCCTATTGACTGTCTCATGATTGGTTAGATTTTGAAACTCAGTTAGGAGAAGAATAGAGACTGTTTACGGCATTCTTTCATAGAATTCCTTTTTTTATTCTGTTTTTATTGTTTTCTACGGTGGATGCATTGGATTGAATGATGTGACTTGCTCTCTTCGACTGGATTCATTTGGATAGAATGAGCGGCCAAACTGTTTTATATTGTTCACCATTTTGATGTGATAGAATAAGTGGCTGAATTGCCTGCAAAGGGATTATATTTCTACTCATAAGGTTAATCCGTAAAGTTGATATAGATTGACGTCGAGACAGTACTAGCTGCTATTGCCACATATTGGGTTTGCTCCTTTTGTCTTAGCTGCTTTGCCATTTACTAGTTTTCTCCTTTTCTCTTAAACCCTGTTGATTAGCTTATACAGCATGTCCAAGTTTGGGTATATTGATATTTCTTCCTTTCTTCTCTTTCCC